CTGACAGCCCTCGACTCCGTCACCTGCTGTTCTCTTCAAACTCACGCAGTCAGCATGCTTCCTTTTGCTTTTTTTTAAAAAAATGGGCCTGTTTCACCCAGCCGGCGTGGCTCAGGGGTTGAGCATCCACCTATGAACCAGGAGGTCACGGTTCGATTTCCGGTCAAGGGCACAGGCCCGGGTTGCGGGCTCCATCCCTACCGTGGGGTGTGCAGGAGGCAGCCGATCCGTGATTCTCTCTCATCATCCATGATGTGTCCATCTCTCTCTCCCTCTTCCTTCCTCTGAAATCAATAAAAATGTACTTAAAAAGTGAAAATAATTTTAAAATGTGCTGCTTCAAATACGTATTGTTTTGTCCCCCTGATGTCCACTCTCTATGATGCGCTTGCCCTCTCCCTGCATCTCACAGGCCAGACAAGTACCTAAAGGTTTGTAGGACCAGTGAGGAGCCACAATATTTCTGACCAAAACTGCCCCAGGTGACGGAGAAGATGGGCAACAGGAGGCAAGAGATTCCCACACGCTGGCTGGAAACGGTCCCGAAAATCTATTTTAGTTACTAAACCACGAGTGGGGGGTTCAACGAGGCATAAATATCCAGCATGCTTGGCGATCGCTCAGAACTATCTGCGTGTCATGGTTTATTGCTCTTCTTCTTTTTTTAACCAGTGAGTTTTTCTCTCTTTACATTTTCTTTTTCTTTTTTTGGGGGGGGGGGATTCAGGAAGTGAGAGCATTTAAGAAAACATTCAAAATTCTGAGAACACATGTCAGTGAAATATTTAATGTCTGTCATTCGTAAAAGTTACATCATTTACATAGGGTTCATTTGTATATAATAAAAATTTCATCAGCATGAAAAATTTCCTGGAAAGTTAGACGCTAACGTGTTTCACATCTGCTTTGGATATACAGCTAAATAGCAACCGTTAGAAAGTCCTTTCTTCCAACATCCCCGTTAACAATTTAAAAACAACACAAACGTCGTTCCTACATATGTGTTCCCCTCGCCACGTGCTCCCGCTGCGTGTCGTGTCATGTAGTTTGAACTCCGTAAAGGCTGGGTCTTTGCGGAGCTCAAGGATGTATTTGGATACTGCGACCAGTCTGCCCATTGCATAGCGAACATGTAAACGTACAGAGCGTCTGTAAATGTCACCCTAACCGTCTAAAAAAAGCTGCAGAGATTTGACGTGCCACTGGATTCTACGTTTATTGTGTTGCCATTCTGGGTTTCTTTGTGTGTGTGTGGTTTTTTTTTCTTTCCTTTTTAATACACGCCCATTGATCCATGAAACGTTGAAAACCAGGTCAGCAATGGCATCCTAGACTACCAGCACGGAACCTCGACAGTCAAACCCAACTCGACCGTCTCCTACGTCTCACAAGTTGGAGATGCGCGACGCCGCCTCCTGGGGACAGCGTGCAACGTTCACCTCGACCCTGTGTGTGTCTCTCACATACAGTGAACTCTGCTCGCATCGCAGGCAATGTTTATTCGTGAAAGCTACTTATCATACAGGAAACAGCAAAGGCAAGTCTTCATACAGAGGTGCACGCCGGGAGTGGCGGGTGGAGAGGTACATGCAGAGATTTCTGATTCGAAAGGAATAAACAAGAAGACTAGAATTACGGGGCGGGGGGGGGAGGATAGCGGGGAGGGGGGGTGGTTCCCTACTCTCTCCAGCGAGGCCTGGGGTGGCTCTGACTTTACAATTGGAAGATGCCTTCACAGGTAGGACCAGGACACGTGAGCAAGCAGGTGAGAGGAAGGTGGGGGGCTGCACTGTGCTTGACAGGTGTGCGGGGTTTGCTTTTCCGAGGATAACTGGCTTCAGGGGTGAGGCGGGCATAGGCTGCCGGTGGCTCTGTGTATACACACGGTCTATCTCGTTTCGTTTTAAGCCACATCACGTGAAGCCCCCGTGTGTGTGTGTGTGTGTGTTCGGCATCATAAAGAACAGAATTATTTATTGTTCACCATCAGGAAATGACATTTAAGTCTCTCTCTCGCTCTTTTTTTTTTTTTTTTTTTTTTGGCTCAATCGGTTTTTAGAGTGTGTGATTAGCATAACCTAATATTTGTCTTTGTCTTCACTGCTGTGGATTTCCGATCAAACTTTCCCCTTCTTTTAATACTTTAGGGAATTTTCAATCGTCGGGATGTTTGGCTGTAATACCCCAAGATTTGTTCTCCCTGAAAAAAATCATAGTGACAATTTATTAACTACAGAGCAACTTGGCTTTTAGGGGTCAATTTCTAATTAGATTTACAAACATCCATTGGTGCTCAATAGACCTACTATGAAATCTTAATCATATTTAAGGTTTCTTTTTCATGCAATCATTGTATCTGTTAGTTATCTCTCTCTCTTTTTTTTTTTTAAATTCCAAAACTTGGGCTGACTCAAATCTATGGGGCATTACTTGTATCCTAAGAAAATAGATTCAAAGGCAACTCCACGTAGAATGACATTGCAATGGGGTGTACATTTCAAGCGCATCAGAAGTTTGGAGATCTTAAAACTCTTTGTATGTTTGACTATTCTTTTTTTTTTTTTAAAAAAAGCGTTTGTATTGCTCTTTTAGTAGCTTTTACATACTGTACAGTATTGGAAACACATCGGTCTGGTTAAGCTTTAAATAAAACTTGTGGGAAATAAAACTCCTTAGATTCAAAATGGTTTATTCACACAAAATTTAATAGGATAAATCACAATTGTTTGGTCCAATAAATATTTAGGGGAAATAGTTTCTATACAATGCATTTATCAATAAACAAAGAAAACAGGGACAGTTCTGCTAGACCACTTACTGTACTATAAACACGAAGCTCAATATATAAGATTATTGGATTTATCAACTATATTTGAAAGAGTGCACACCGCTTTCTATGACATGTTCGTCCCCCTGACCGGATTACACCATAAAAAGAGTTTCAGAAATAAGAGGGAAAACAGTACAAAACTAGTGAGGCGTCATAGGGCTTCAAACAAGTTAACGGACAACACATATAATCCTGATTTTTTTTTTTCTTTTCACAAACTTACTTCTAAGTGAGATCTTTAAGGCACATAGGAGAACTGAGTTATAAATCCGTCTACCTCATAAAGTAGACCTATAGTACCATAGGTTGTTCCGTCCAAGAACAACATGTGGAAGTATCGCTAGTTTACCTGTAAAAGTGTATGAAGAACATCTCAGCCTTATCAAGGTTGTTTGGTCTGGTTAGTGGTAAATGCCCAAAATCGAATAGAACTGGGGAAAGTCGAGATTTCCGCCCCGTCGAAGATGACACCGCATAATGGCGATCACGCCTTCCTTCTGTTACAGTGTTAACTTATCTCCCATCATCTTTATTTTTATTTTTCTTAAAAAATAAGCTACTTTCTGTGCTAATTTTCTAAAGACCCTGAGCAAGAGTTACGATAATGCACTTAAATGTGGGCAGTGAACTGTCAATAGGTAACCACACGTCTATACAACAGCCAGGACACCTTGGAAAAAAAAAAAATCTATGAAATTGCCACTTGGACCACCAGAGGAGATTTGAGGGGTCCAAGAAGTGGGGAACATGTGCAAAGTTATTCTTAACAATCCACTAAAGCAAGACATATATCTTGACTCCTTTTTTTATTTTATTTTTATTTATTTATTTTTTTTAGGAAATCCACATTCTAATTGGTATTTAACTACAACGGAAGCCTACACATGGACATTCACCACTGCCCAGACCATTACGATTTTAGCTTAAATTAAAAGAACAAAAAAATGCTACTGTAAACTAGGAAATATATTCAGATCAGCATCCACGAGGCCTCTGAGTTTATCTACGTTAATGACTTTGAATCTCCAATGTCAGAAAAGTTTGCTTCTGACAAATATATCGAGCTGTGCCAAAGTAAAATAAAACAGAACATCAAAGAATGCTCATTGTTGGTATTCGTCTATTAAGTTGGTTGGGGTTTTTTTAAAACATTATTCACGTAGAATGCCAGACACAATATCATGGTACAGCTCAAGCCAATTCATAAAGCTATTAATTAAGTTTATGCTGATTTTTTTTTTCGACTCCTTAAAAAATTGTATTTTGCTTATTTTCACGTTCCCTGGAAGGGGTGGGGGGGATTAACTTGGACAGAATGGTTTTACAACTACCATTTGCAGCTTTGGAAGGTTAAAAAATGTAGGATTTCAAGTCCTATTTGGAGTTTTGTGGGTACGTAGGGCATTTAAGTATTGTCCAAATGTTGAAAAGCAAGGAGCTAGTGGGAGTTTTGTGAAGCTGTGCAACCCTAAGAGTCCCATTTCCGAGGAGTTGTTCAGCCTCATAAATCTAATGAATCTCTCCTATTTGAGCTGCTACAGTTAGTGCTTTTGTGTAATCATATTCCTCATTCGTAAGAAAAAGGAGTGACCGAAACATTTTTCTTTTTTCAGTTTAAAATTTTTTTTTTAAAATGGGACGTTTTCAAAATTCCCTAAGCACACATACAATTTCCAGCTTTCCTAAAGCGTTTTCATCGACTGATACTTTATTAACCCAATCACTTAAGAGGGAATATGAATATTTGCCCATCAAAAGACCACTCTCTTTTTTTTTCCCCTCCGAGATTTCTGGAAATAAGTAACATACAATTTTAAGAGGCACTTGGAGGATTCAAAAACTCCCCTTGCCGACTGAATGATCTGATTAATTTTTAAAAAAACACCAAAAAAAAAAAAAACCCACCAAAAATCCAACTACACTTTGTGGACAAAAAATAATAATAATAATAATAAAAAATACACTTTGTCAAGGAGACGGGGCTGTAAACTCATTCGTCACGTGGCTGCCGATGCTACACACCAAGCTGTTTTAATTTCCCAAACACCTTGCGGGTTAGGAGGCGGGGAAGGGAGGTCTTGTAAATAATAAAATAATAATAATTAGGATCAGAATCGAAAGAAGAGGGAGCATTTAAAAAAGAAAAAAAAAACAAAACAGGAAACCACTGTTAGAAAAGGCTCGTTAAGGTGGTCTGGGAGGGGCTGGAGGGCTCGCGGCTGTCCATGCTCGAGGGCACGGCTGTCACTACAGTGAGGGGGGCGTCGGCCAGGTCTGGGAGGGCGGCCGGGCCTGGCGGGGTGAGCGGGCCGCTGTCGGGGGGCGGCGCTGGGAGCGGCGGGCCCTCGGCTTTATCCACACCCCCGTTCTCCTGCCGCAAGAGGTTCCTTCGGAATTTGGCTCGTGCGTTTTGGAACCAAACCTGCAAACCAATCCCAAGGGATGTCTTTACCGCGGTTTAATTTTAGACTCTTTTTTTCCCCTGTCTCTTTCTCTTTCCTTTTCCCCCCCTTTCCTTCCTTCCTTCCTTCCTTCCTTCCTTCCTTCCTTCCTTCCTTCCTTCTTTCCTTCCTTCCTTTCATTCATTCATTCTTTTATTTTTATCTCTTTTATTTTACTTACAATTCTGTAAAGTAAATGGTGTCCCTTTTTAAACATTTTTTATTTTAATGTGTTTTTATTGATTTCAGAGAGGAAAGGAGAGGGAGAGAGAGAAACATCAATGATGAGAGAGAATCGTGGATCAGCTGCCTCCTGCACGCCACTGGGGATGGAGCCCAAAACCTAGTCATGTGCCCTGACCGGGAATCGAACCTGTGACCTCTTGGTTCACAGGTCGATGTTCTACCACTGAGCCACACCAGCTGGGCTCCTTTTTAAAATATATATATATATATTTCTCTTTTTAAAAATAACTGTTTCTGCCCTAGCCCGTCTGGCTCAGTGGGTAGAGCGTCAGCCTGCAGACTGAAGGGGTCCCAGGTTCGATCTGGTCAAGGGCATGTACCCCAGTTGCAGGCTCAATCGCCCAGTAGGGGCCGAGCAGGAGGCAGCCAATGGATGATATTTCTCTCTCATCAATGTTTCTATCTCTTTATCCTTCTCCCTTCTTCTCTCTCTAATAAATAAATAAAAACGTATTTTAGCCTGGCCGGCGTGGCTCAGTGGTTGAGCGTCAACCCATGAACCAGGAGGTCACGGTTCGATTCCCGCTCAGGGCACAGGCCCGGGTTGTGGGCTCGGTCCCCAGTGTGGGACGTGCAGGGGGCAGCTGATTAATGATTCTCTCTCATCATGGATGTTTCTCTCTCTGTCTCTTCCTCCCCTTCCTCCCTCTGAAATCAATAAAAATATTTTTTAACAAACATAGTTTTTTAAATATAAAAAAATAAAATAATGGTTTCTTTTTCTTGGGAGAGGTGGTCCTTTTTATTTGCTTTTTAAAAAATTTGGCGCTTTTTTAAAACAATAGATCCCTTCCATGAATACTATATAAATTCTATCAACTGCCTGTATCCCCGCCCCCAGGCTTAACAAGGTCCACCGGGGACCTATGAGCTTAAGTGGTGACACCCTGGAAGCCGGAGAGAAAGGGCCGAAAGTGCACCAGCCTCCTCCTCAGCCGCTGTCTTTTGAGCAGGAGGAGAGGTGGCCATCGCCAGAGTCTGACTCACTCCTAGGAAGTGAGCATCATTCCCCCAGAGCTCGGCTGCTCTTGAGACGGACGCACGGGAGGTATTCTCAGCACAGGAAGGAAACCCACGGGCCACCAGGCCTCAAACGGGTGTGTGTGGGGGGATTTTAAATGCCTGCCCTTTACCCCTGAGACATGGAAGGGGGGGCCCAGGGAGCCATCTCAACCCCCTGCCATTTCTTTCATCAGTCGGAGAGCCGGACCTGGCTGAGGTCAGGATCCAAACCCCAATACTTGGTTTTCTAGAAACGTGGTTCCTTCCCATGAGAAAACACCCGCTCCAATGGGCTGCTGAGACACGGGCCCTACTGTGGCTTTGGGGGAGTTGAAAAAAAAAGGGGGGGGGTGGACCTGAACTTGGAAGGTGGTAACACAGCCCGTGAGCTGGCTGCCAAGAGTTTGCTGAGAAGCCAGCCAGGCAGGGTCCCCCACAAGTCTGTGAGGGAGCCCAGCGTGAAAGCCCCCCTCGACAGCCACAGCTTAGATAAAAATGAAATAACAAAAATAACAAGTAAAGCCACGGCTTGTGCAAGTAATATCCCTGAGGCCTGCAGACCAGGGAGGCAGCTGTGCTGGCTGGAGGACCCCACTCTCCATCTCTGGGGGCGCGGGGGGACCTGCATTCTTAAAGATGCTGCTCTCTCTTGGGGCACCTTCGGGGGAGCCCCCCGAGAAAGCTCAGCACCCCCTCTAGGAGCATCACTAAGGTCAGCTCAGGAGACGCGGTGGAGGCAATCCCTGCACCAGCCAGCAGGGGGCAGACCTGGCTCCCTGGCCCGGGGACAGGGGGTGGGATTTTGGGGGGGAGGGGGTGTGCACGGCGGAGGAGGGCGCCTTCTTTCTTACCTGCAGCACTCGCTTGGTGAGGCCCGTCTTCTGGGCGAGCTGTTTGAGGTCCTTGGCGTCCGGGTTGTGGTTGATGGCGAAGTAGGACTTCATGGTCCGCAGCTGGTGGTGCTTGAAAGAGGTGCGCATGCGCTTGGTCTTCTGCGAGGGCGGGTAGGGCTGCTGGTCGCGGTCCAGGGGGTCGGCCTCGTTCTCGTTGCAACCTGTCGGGGGCACAGGGAACCCACCAGCGCTCAGTGGACGGCCCTCGCGTGGGGAGGAGGAGGGGGCTGAGCACGGAATCTATGCACGGAATCTATGCAGCAGGAGGTCACGGGCTCGATTCCCCCCTCCCCCTCCATCAGGGCACATGCCCAGGTTTTGGGGCTCAGGCCCCACTAGGTGGGGGGGGGGCGGGGGTTGCAGGAGGCAGCCCATTCATGGTTCTCTCTCATCATGGGTGTTTCTATCCCTCTCTCTTCTTCTCTGAAATCAATAAAAAAACATATTTCAAAAATAAAATGAGCCCTACCTTGTTTGGCTCAGCCGATAGAGCGCCGGCCTGCGGACTGAAGGGTCCCAGGTTCGATTCTGGTCAAGGGCATGTCCCTTGGGTGCGGGCACATCCCCAGTGGGGGGGGGGGGCGGGGTGCAGGAGGCAGCTGATCGATGTTTCTCTCTCATCGATGTTTCTGACTCTCTATCCCTCTCCCTTCCTCTCTGTGAAAAATCAATAAAATATATTTTTAAAAAATAAAAATAGAATAAAATGAAAAAATAAACAGCCACGGAAAAGGCGGTCTGTCCCATCAGGAGGGTCTCCAGGCAACCAGAGCAGGTCAGTTGCCAAAGTCAGCCCAACCGGCCTGCGGAGGTGGCCAGGACCACAGCTTATGTCATAGGAAAACACTCCGTGAGGCTCCTCTCCTGCTTCACGGTTGCCAGGACAACGTAAGAGGAAGAGCTGCAAGTGTGGAAGTGAGAGAAATCTCCAAAAGGGAGAGAAAAGAAAACCACCCCGTCCTAACGTACGTACGTCCCTCCGCACCCAGTCTATAGAGGCCCCGCGTCTCCACGCGGCCTGTATTTGTGAACGGAGACGCACTCCCCGAAGCCAGTGCCTTTGCCATCTGAGGGTTTCGGGAGCCACCAGCTAAGTCAGTTCCAATGTTCGGCCTTTTCTCTTTCTTTTGTTTTTTAAATCCTCCCCCGAGGATATTTTTTCCATTGATTTTTAGAGAGAGGGAGAGACAGAGAGAGACAGTGATGTGAGAGAAACACATCGATGGGTTGCCTCCTGCACGCGCCCTGACCAGGGCCTGCACTTGAGGTACATGACCTTGACCGGGATCCAACCCAGAACCCTTCGGTCCACAGGCCGATGCTCTAACCACTGAACTAAACCGGCCGGGGCCCAATGTTTAGCCTTTTCTGAGCTTCCTACAACCTTGTCCATCAGGAAGAAGCAAGTGTCCGGAGAAGGGGGAAAGTTACACAATAGAAATGCATAGATGGCTTATGCGATCGTAGGAATATGGCTTCTGAGGGCTTTTTGGCTGTAGCTGGTGAACGTGGAGGCTGTGCCTGAATTGCTTTAATGCATATTCCCGGAGGCATGAGCCCAGGCTTGTCTGCACTGGGCACAGGCCTGAGCTCAGCTCACAGCTCACAGCTCACAGCTCACAGCTCACAGCTCACAGCTCACAGCACAGAGAGTCCTCATTTCCAGACCCAGTTCTTGCCCCGTGGCTCTGGCGGGTGTGAGAGGGCCTGAGCTGTGCCCTGGCAGGCCTGGCACAGAGCGGGCGGCCTCTCCTCGCTGCTCGCAAAGCCCTCCTGAGGGCAAACCAGCCCAGCCTGCAGGTCATTGTCCCCAGGGTAGAAAGCTGTGCATTGAAAAGGTCATTTCCAAGAACCCACCGGCTCTACACGGCAAACATGATCACAAAACGAAAACATCTTGCTAGCTATTCACGGATTCGGCCAACTTCCCAGCTTATAGGGCCGTGGCAATTTTTTTTTCCCCCCTGTAAAGCTTATTTCAGATACTTATCCGATGAATATTCCCATCTGATCAGCCTGAACTTTAGTGCGTTATAACAGAATACCTGAAAACAATAAAATGACAAGCAATACCACTGAATCTTAAAAAAAATCAAAATAAACAAGAAATCGAATGAACAAAATAAGCTGGTGAATAAAATGGAGTCAGAGGCAAGGAAGCAGGGAACAGAGCGAGGAATCTCAGGGAAGTGGGGGAGAGAGGGCAGAGATGAACCAAAGATCTTGCTATGGACACAGAGAGTAGGGGGGTGAAGGCCTGGGGCAGGTTGGGAACCCGGTGGAGAGGGGCCATGGAGTGAAAAGGGGGGGGGAGCATCTGTAAGATTCTCCACAATAAGGATTTTAAAAATCATGATAATAAATTAAAAAAAAATAAAATCAACCTGATCATGCCGCTGTGGGCAGGGGGGTGTGGAGAAACTTGAATGTTGAAGCAAGCGAGGCATCTCTTAACATCAGCGCCTCCATTCTGCTCGGTGAAATATTACCTGCCTGCGATGCTCTGGTTAGAATTACGTCCTAAAAGATATTTTCAATAAATCCTCTTCTGTACGGAAACACAGTAGATAAGCAGTGTCCCATCAAGAGATCAGCCACATCACGAAACGCATTTAAACAAGAAATTCTCCCTCGTGTCACGGGAACCAGGCATGAACTCACGTCTCCTTTGTTTGTATTTCCATCAGATACAGAAGGAGGAGGGCGCCCAGCCCAGGTGTAACGGGGCAGGTGAGTTCATCGACGCCGGAAAGACCAGTTCACCTCTGCGGCTCCTACCTCAAGCACACGGCCGGCAGGGAGCTCAATAGCGTGCAATGCAGACTTTGCACCTTGGCCATCAACACCACTGTCCTTGACGATTCATGCAAAATCAAGTCAACTGGAAATGGAATCTAACTTAGACACACACACCCCCATGCTGAGCATGGACTTTTTAAGCTCTGCGAGCAAGGGTAGCATATGCCGGGAGATCCGACAACGGAGAAGATACTAGGAATTGTGTCCGATGTCAGCCCAGTGGGGCGATGTCAAGTTCAAATGCCCGACAGAACGGCACTTTTATATCCTCAAACGGGTGAAACAGCATCTTATGGCCCGCCATAAAACTGTACTTATCTCCAGTTCACTGGGCTGTATTTCACCCCCGGATTATAAATGTACCCACAACGGAACGGTCAGAGGGGCCAGCCTTAGACACCCCGGCTTCTGCCAACGAGACTGCGTTCCTGCCACACGTAACACGTCACTTCTCCTGAACAACACGTCGAACGGAATATTACACTTGGGATGGGAGACTTAACTGGTGTTTAACGAGGCCCTTCGCTCTCTCCCTCTCCCCCCAAATCCTATTTCTTAGAAATGAGCTGATTCCTAACCTATCTCCATGCTCATTAGCCTTTCAAAGGAATCGTGTGAACAAAAATGATGGGGAGGTTTGATAAAATCGCTTCCACTTCCCTGGCTGATGAGGTTTTAATCGGAGGAAAATTTCAGGGTGTCGAACGCCAGGATGGCCCTTGTTTTCACAGAGCCCAGTTCCGGGTGCAAGGAGAGGGTTAGCACTTCACTGCATGGATGCGGTGACTGCGTTATCACTTGCGTATTTCAGCTTAATAGAGCGATCGAGTTCACCCGCAGAGTGGCTTGGTGCCTCCTCCCGCATCACCTGCCTGTAACTGCAAATGCATCCTGTAAACTCGCCCGCGATGGCGTGTGTGTCCCTGGGGTCCCCTTCGAAAGCCGTGGGGTTTCCCTCCCCGCCCCCTGATTTATGAGATGAAATGATCTCTCTTTTAAAACTGTCTTTAAACACACACACACACACCTCTGGGCGCACATCTGGCGCCTCGTTAATGAGAAGATCTGACTATTTCGCTGTGCAGCCCCTTAGAGAACGGGCACCCACGCGCTCTCCTGTTCTGAAGGAACCTTCTCGTCGGAACCGATCCCTGGGAGACCACTAGGGGTCAGTGCCAAGCTGACGGAGCAGCTACCAGGAGCTTCTGAACTTGGGAAGGGAGATTTTTGAGGAGCCCAGAGCGCTCCTTCTTTCAATGAATGCTCAAGTATTCAAGTAAGAGTGGCCTGTCCTAGACTACTTCTTTCCACCCTGGGGGGGTGGGGGGAAGGGGAGTTCATTTCAACCCAGCATTCCGGATACATTTCCCACGTCGCTTCCTAAAATAGCTGCCTCTTTGCACACGGAGAACCGCAACAGGAATATTCTCAGCGAAAGGCATTTGCACGAACCCGATCCCTGCCAAGTCTCGCATCTTCGCTGGGAGCCTTCGCCTCATTAGCAGATTTCAACTCCTCCTCTAGGAAAGGATGCCAACGGCCACGGGCTATTTGTTTGGTGTCAGTGTGACTCTCCCCGAGACGCGCTAGCCACACGGAAGCGGAGATGGCACCGCCGGCCCAGGGAGGCCAAGGCCAAGGAGAGTGAGCGTCAGCGGCGGCTCCATCTGACTTCCTACCTCGGAACGCTTTGGATTCGCCCAAGCCTCTCTTTCGCTAGTTTTGTGACAAACTGGCCTTAAACTCAGAGGCATTTTTGTAACAAACGGGGGGGGGGGGGTGATTTTCAGACAGGCATGTTGGACCCCGTTTCTCCAGATTCTTTCCAGCTGATGTGAGAGAAATATGGGCTATGTGCTCACTCTTCTCTGGGGGGGAGATGGGGGGAGTCCAGGAGGGATGGGGCGGGTGAATGAAGAGGCATCTGGGCCAGTTATGGGCAAACTCCTGGGGGTGAGAGAGGCCACAGCATCTCCTTCCTCCCCCTCCTCCTCCTCCTCCATCTCCTCCTCTTCCTCCTCCTCCTCCTCCACAGCCTGGTGGGGGCACCAGTTTGCAAACGGAGGACCCCAATGGAAGGAATCTTTCATTATTTTAAAGGAGCAGGTTTGTCTTCGCTGGGTCTCCTCAGCGCAGTAGGAGAAGCAATGTTCTACCCCTCTTATAGCTCCTCACGTCTTCCTGACGTGAAGGAAGATGCTAAGCAAGACCACACTCAGCCAATTCGGCTCAATAAACGAGTGAAAACCAGGCTGGCCTCCGTTTAGCGAGAATTGTCCTTCACCCTACAGGGATTCCCGCTGATACCCCACCCCCTCTCTCTCTCTAATTAGAGCCTTGCTGAGTGGCCCCGGATTCCGACATCGCTGTCTATTAATAAAGAACAATTCCTGCCCAGCTGTCTTGTCCGGGCGCCACGCACCCAATGACACCAAGTCATTTGCTGGGCAAAGTGGTCAGGAACCAGAGCCCTCGCCGGAGTGCGGCGGGAAGAGCAGGAAGCTGAGACCCTCTACCTACCGGGTTTGGCAAAACCAGGTCACCGGCCACCGGACACTAACCTGCCTGGCGGGCACCTTGTGGAGCCGACGGCCCTCCTTCCTTCGCCCAGTGACCCTGGCATGAAACCATGGGGACAGCTGCAGCCGCGCTGGGCCCCCATCCCCTCTCTCCTGGGGACGAGCGTGCTGGGGAGCCCGCGCACCCACCGGGTCCAACCCTGGAAACTCCGGGCTCCTCGGAGCAGGACTTGGGGCTTCCCACCCGCTCCATCCTGCTGCCTGACCTTGACAAACCACGTCCCTGGTGGGTGGGACACTGTGGAGCCAGAAGACAGACCAGGTGCCCTACCAGTCGCTGGGGGAAGAGAAAACTAGACATCTATGTGCGCTCTGGGGTGCCCGAGCCCCGACTGATATTCCTGCTCATGGCAACAGAGTGGGGTTGCCACAACATGGTCCCCAAGGTCCCTTCCAACAGAGCGACTCTCCTAGGCCGAGTCCCCCTCCCCCCATGAGGTTCCCAGCCTGAGCTGGACTAGGGCCTGGGAAGTCACATCAACAGGGCGGGTCCTTAGACTCCCCAAAGTTGGCCCATGGCCACTGGAACCCCTTTTCCCAGTGGCTGGGGCCTCTATCCTATGCAGTGAGACTGGGGTCCCCAGGCCTGTCCCCATCCTCACCAGGGGGGTGGTAGGGGGTACAGGCTACTAACAATAGGAAATGGGTGAGTGAGAGAGATGGAGACTGATCCGTGTGTCCCCAACGGCAAGGAAGAGAGGCTCACGGTGGTCTGGCCTGCCTTTTGTTTTCAATTAAAAGAGGAGGTGGGTGTAGGGCCAAGAGCAGCTGGACACGAAGACACCCTCCCCCGCCCCCCAATGGGCCTCACCTGCAGGCTCTCTCCACCTTCCGGGCCTGCTCCTCTGGCTGGCTTATCGAAAGGAACAGCTGGCCGGCCTGACCTACCTACGGAGGGAGCCGCCAGCGCACCCTCCACCAGCACCTCTCACCAACCTCAGGGATGGCTTTTTCCACACTCTTGCCAACCGCTTTCCTAACCAACTCAGGCTGGCAACCGACCCGCAGCCTCTGCCCCCACCCCACCCCCCAGGGCCCACGGGGGCTGGGCTCTGAAGCGTTTCTTTTTTTCTTCTATATTTAGGGAAACCTTCTCCAGGATCTATAAAGTGGCTTCCACCCAGGAATCGCCCGGGGGGCTGTTTGGCTGGGAGTGGGAGCCAGACGCTAATGGGCTCGTTAACTAATGGGCAACCAGAACTTGACTTCGCCTGTTGGGGGAAGCCATTGGAACCCATGGCGACGAGTGTTTTTCTGGCCACAACTTAAATAAAGGGTCCCCTCTCTCCCTCCCTCCCTGTCGCTCTCCCCCTCCTCCCTCTCCTTCTCCATCCCTCCTCTCCCTCTTACTCCTTCCATCCCAGGGACAAGGATGAGCAGGGAGAGGGGCTTCTGGGAACCAGATCCAGGACGGGCAGGAGGCCTGTGGGGTGTAGGGATGGAGGGCGCCGGCGGGGACCCACCTGAGCTGTAATTGACGATGTCCACTCCCAAGGCCGGGCTCTTCCGCTTGCGGGGCCGCCCCTTCTGCACGGTGCCCGTGCCATTGAAGTAAGGCAGCGCCAGGCCGCCGCCCTTGGCCGCCAGCTCCGTGTAGCTCAGCGGCGCGGGGAACTCCCCGTGCAGGAGGCTCTCGAAGTGCGCGCGGCAGTAGACCAGGCCGTCCTTCATGCCGAAGTGGTCGCCCGTGGCCAGCGTCTTGCTGCAGGTGGAGCAGGTGAAACAGCTCAGGTGGTAGACGGCGTCGCGCGCGCGCATGACCATCTCGGAGGCGGAGATGCCCAGGTGGCAGCGGGCACATCGCTGCACGGAGAACCTCCTGGAAGGAGAGCAGTGGCGCGCGCGTCAGGGCGCGGGTGGAGGCCGAGGCAGGGCCGGCTCCCGCGCGGGGACCCCCGGGGACTGGGTCAGCGGGGCCCAGGCCTGAGATGGGAGCGCTCCATTCCGGGTGGAGAGGACGGGGACCCGGCCAGGCCATTAATTCCATCTGTTCATTGTCCTGATGTGATAAACGGGACAAAGACCCCTTCCGTTCACATCAGCTTTTTTCTCTGTAACATGGAGATTTTTAAAATATATTTGTATTGATTTCAGACAGGAAGGTGAGGGAGAGGGAGAGGGAGAGGGAGAGGGAGAGAGAGAGGGAGAGAGAGAGAGAGAGAGAGAGAGAGAGAGGAACCATCCATGATGGGAGAGAGCCACTGACTCTCAGCTTCCCTCTCTGTAACATGGAGATTTTTAAAAATATTTTTATTCATTTCAGAGGGGAAAGGGAGAGGGAGAAAGAGATAGAAACATCCATGAGGTGAGAGAATCACGGACCGGCTACCTCCTGTGCGCCCTGCACTGGGGATGGAGCCTGCAACCCGGGCCTGTCCCTTGACCTGGGGATTAACCCTGACCTCCTTGGGTTGATGCTCAACCCCTGAGCCAGTTGGGCCAAGATTTTGTGGGTTTTTTTTTTTAAAGAAAATAAAACAGCAGGCTCTGCACTCGCTGACTCGCCAGGAACGGGAAGGCTATGCAATCGCAACGCAAGTGAAAACGGTTCGAGGGCTCCACAGCGGATTCTGTTCTAACCGCATCTCTCCCCGGGCTGCGCGCGGAGCGGGATCCCTGCGCGCACACACCCTCCCCTTCCGCGTCCCGGCGCCTCGGCGGGAGGAGTAACTGCATGCGCCCCGGGGAAGCCTAAAGTCCCCCCCTCCCCAGCGGGGGCGAAACTGGGAACGGGGTCCCCATTCTTTCGGGCTGGGAAGTCCTGCCTTCCCAGGTCGTTCACACTGTCCCTGCCGCCCTCGCCCAAGCGCAGCGCCCGGGACGAAAGCGCGCGGACCTTGCCCCGTTCGTAGTAAACGGAAAAAAACCCGCTTTCATCTGGGAGGACAGTGACGCGTTCATTTACTCCACCCGGACTTCCCGGCGGGGTTCCCTCCACGCGCTGCGAGGGGCCGGGGCGCGCGGGGGTCACGGGGACCTTGCACATCCCAGGTGGGTCCCCACCTCCCCCCATCCTCACGGTCCGTCTTGGGGCTGCGGATTGAAGGTGTCAGCAGTGGACTTCCCTGGTCCCCGGTCCCCTAACCGTTCCCCGACGGGGCGAAAGGTGGGGGGAGCCGAGGGAACGGGGGCTCCGGGCCGGGGCGCAGGGGGGCGCGCACCGGTAGTAGTCCTCCTTGCAGTAAATGCTGCCGTCCTTGGCGAAGCAGGTGAGCTCCGACTCCAGGGCCAGCTTGCACTCGCAGCACTTGAGGCAGCGCAGGTGCCACTGCTTGTCCACCGCCAGCAGGTAGTACCTGTCGGCGATCTTGCCCCCGCAGCCGGCGCACAGCGCGGGCTTCTCCGGGCTCAGCGGGGGCAGGCCCTGCAAGGCGAACACAGCGCGGGTGAGGGGGGCGCGGGCCGCGGGACCCAGGGCGCGCGCGAGGGCCACAGCCCACAGCGGGGACACCTTCCCTCGCGCCCCTGTGCGCTTCACTCCCTTTCCGCTTGTCCCCGGGGCCCGCTGGTCACCTGAGGACGCGCCCGCCACCCCGAGCCTCTTTGAAAAAGGCCTGGGTGCGCAAGGATGCTAGTTTGGTGCCTGTTTCCAAACCCGAACAAAATGAAAAAAAGATGGAAAGGGTGGCTTTCGAGGCACTCGGAGTGAAATCCGCGGGCATCGTGGTTGGGGGGCGGGAAGGGCATTGATTGTAAACGAACGAGATCACAATTGCGCCCGTGAATCCCCGGGAGCAGGGAGAGGGGGCAGGTTTTTGTGCCTAGCTGGCGGTTTGGTCACAGAGTTCTGAGGGGGATGAACTGGGCAGAAGTCGTTCTCCCTGATTCTCCGGGGACCTGGTCCTCTTTCTGGTCCTGGTGGGGAGTGCCAGTTCCCAGGGGGGTCCCGGGGCCGGTCCCCTCTGCCCAGCCAGGGTGCAGACAGACCTTCGTCCTGGACGTGGGTTTGGTGCTCAAATTCAATCCCTGCCTGTGTCCCCGATGAGGATGGGGAGCCCGGGCCGGGTTGAGCCCCCAGCTTGGGAAATGTGGGGTGCTGGCTGATGGTTTTGAAACAGGGTGACCCCTAAAAGGGGATTGGGAAAGCTAAGCTCTGGCCATGTCCTTCAAGGCCTGCGGAAACGGGTCGGACTTTCCAGGACACTTGGGCGGGCCTAGAAAGTCAGGTTTCGCCCACGACTGGGACCCGTGCCCCGCGCGGAATTGGGGTTTTAAATGCGGAAACATCCACCCACTGGGCTCATAGCGAGGGGGAAAGGGACCCCAAACGCGGCTGAGCGGCCCCAGGCTGCGCGCCCGCTGAGTCTATGGTTCTCCGCTCAGGGCCCGCAGGCGGGTCCTCAAGTCCGCAGTTTCCCCTCCAGTTCGGGGTGCGGTTCGTGGCGGGAAGCGGCGGCTCAGAGATTATTAAAGGGTTTTCTTTACGGGGCGGACGGGCCTGGGAGTATCACGAACAGGAGCCAGGAATCACGTCGCTTTTCAGCTCCTTCTCGCCCCGGGCTGCGCGCCCCGCTCCGCCGGCTCCTTTACCCGGTTTCCCCGCACAGCCGACGGGGCCGACCCGGGGCGCAGCGCGGCGCCGTCCTGACTCGCTAGCGAGGCCGAGCTGAGCTGCCAGGGACCCCGAAAATCGCTGCGTTTGGGGGTGCCCAGGTCCGGAGAAGTAGAGGTGGCCCATTCCTTCCTTCCTAGTCCCCCCAAAGGCCCCGTCGTCAGACCTGAGACCAGGGCTCCCCGGCTCCCGCGTGGCCCGGACGCCATCAGCCCACAGCCCGCGCCCGGCTCTCGCTCCCTCTCTGTCCCTCTCGCTCCCCCTCGCAACGAGGAGACCGCGGGCCGCCGAGGGGCTCTGGGACCCTAGCCTCCGGTCCCCATCCGCTCGCTCCCGGATCACCTGCGCTTCTGGGCACAGCGGCGGCCGCCGGTGGTGGGAGCGGGGTCTCCGCGGTGGAGACGTTTCACGGCAGCGAGAGGCGGGCGCTGAAGCCGAGAAAATCCACCCGCCAGCCCCGCGCGGTTCCCTCACGACCCACCCTCCTCCCGGGGCCGCCGGGACCGGGACTCCGGGGCACGCAGGGCGCGGTGCTGGGGCCCTCTCCTTACCGCGTCGCGGCCGTTGAGCTGCGCGCCCTTGGCCAAGCGGGCCTCGCCCTTGGATCTGCGCTCCATCTCCTCCATGATGCCCTGGATGTGGCCTCCGGAGATGCCGTGGAAGAGCATGGCTGGGGGGCGGAAGGGACACGCGTCGTCTCCGGCTCGGCACCCCACTATTTCCATAAACTCGCGCCGGGGGCTCTCAGCGCATCCGAGGGCGGGCGCGCGCGGCGGGGACCGCGGAGGAGGCGGCGGCGGCGCAGGGAGCGCAGAGCCGCCCGGGGAGGGACCCAGGGCGGGAGGGAGAGAGCGCGGAGGAAAGAGGCAGGAAGAGGGGAAAGCGATCTGCTTGGGGAGAAAAAGCAATGAGAGGGAAAGAAACAGAGAGGGAAGAAGGAAAAAACCAGAAAGAGCCCAAACCCGGCGGCTCCCGCTGCTGCGCGCAAAACAAACCAACGCGGGCGGCAGCGGCGGGCGGGTCGGAGGGAAGCTCGCGGCTCCGGGAGACGGAGTTACTGCCGAGCAGCGCCCGCCGCGCGGGAGGAGCCCGAGTTCTGGTGCCGCCAGAAAACGGTTCTGAAGACCAAGGCGGAGGCGGGGGCGCGGGCTCGGTTCGGCGGGTCCCCGGCCGGGCGCGCGCGGTCCCCGTGCCTGCGGGTCGGGCTGGGACTGCTCCTGCCCGCGCCGCGGCCAATGTGCGCAGCGCCGAGCGCCAGCCCATGGCTGATCATTCAGGAGGAGGAGTCCCTCTCCGGGGCCGCCACCGGGTTTTTTTTTTTTTTTTTATTCAGACAACAAAGACCTGTCATACTCCTCTCAACCCCCGGTGATGGGCGAGCGGGGACAAACAGGACCGAGGGGGGTCGGGGAAGGCCGCGGGAGGGGGCCGCCGTGCCATCCCCGCTCCCCCAGCGCGGGGGCGCGCGCGCGCGCACACACACCAGACATCACACACATCACACACACACACACTCACACACACACACACACACACCCTAGACTTCCCGGCAACCACGTTTTAAAAGGAGCCCTTATGGTCCCCGCCCGGGCTCAGGAGCCAGAGAGCCGGCCTGTTGGCTCCAACTTGGCACCAGACCGGGGCTCTTCAAGGCCAACCGGAGGCCGGCTCCCTCCAAACTTTGAATTTCCTCCCGGGACCTGCTAGTCCTCCGCTCATTCACTGCTTCCAGCCCCCAAAGAAGTAAAGGCTCAGAGCGATGCCTGGCCTGCCCACCCCCTGGCCCTTCGCTCCCTCCCCGCGGGGACTCCCCTTACCTCGGGCTGGGGCCGCCCCCCACACCCACGAGAGATTGGGGCCGGGAGAGGCTGTGTTGGTAGAGTTTACTTTTGGGGAAAGGGGTTTCTTGGAGACATCAGTGTGTGTGTGTGGGGGGGGGGCGGTGGGCATCAGGATGCCACTGGCCCCGTCCATGGAGAGATGGGTGACTTCCTCTCTTAGCTGGTCGGGTCTGAGGGACCATGGCGGGCGAGGCTGGCATCCCCTTGGACACTTGTCAGTGTGGGCAGCGCTGGGGATCCCGTGAGCTGGGCACGGGCCTGCTGCTTTGGGTCCCCACTGCCCTGGACGGACAGGGGCCCAGAGACGCCGCACCAGGGACTTTAAGGGGGGCTCCTGGCTGGGGAGGGGGGAAGGTGAGCGCTGGCCAGCATCTCACCAGCGGCCACACTGTTCTGTCTCCCTCTGTCCCAGGCAGCCCCTCCTGGGCCCTATTAGAAAGTGCCCACAGTCCCAGGAGATGGTCAATTCATTCAAACCTCCAGACGCCCCCGAGCCGGTGGAAACTGGGGCGCCTGCGGGAACTGGCCTGGCTTGAACGGGAGAGGAGGAGGCAGGCTGCTCGGTGCCTTCCTCCCTGTGGCCCGCCTGGGTCCCCCCCCTCCGCACAGCCATCCCAGGAGCAGAGGGCTGTGTCCTGACACATCCCCGGCACCTCGGGAGTCCCCTGGCGGCCCACCCCCTTCCCAATGCAGGAAGGACAAGGAACCGTGCCAAACCTGGAAAGATGGAGAGGGACAGGAGGGAGGAGAGGAAGAGGGAAGGAGGGAGGGAAGGAGGGCGGAAGAAGGGAAGGAAGGAGGGAGGGAGGGAGGGAGGGAGGGGAGGAGGGGGAGAATGGAAGGAGGGAACTCTGGGTGCAGAGCCTGACTCCCTTTTTAAAACGCCGTTTTCTGAAGCTGCCATAGTCACCCCTTCCATGACCCCCAAGACTCCCCCCCCCATTCTTTTCTAGGGATCAGAACTAATGTCATTTGCAGACTGGACGCCGCCGTGAGGTCCTGGGGCGTCAGAATGTGGCTCAAAAAAACACAATTTCACACAAAAATGAAGCCAATCAAGTGGACTAAGCCGGAGGCCCCCCCTCCCCGCAGCCCAGCTTGGCAGCCCTGGCCGACAGCAGGGTGGCTGTTTACTGTAAGTAAGGTAATTAGGCCCTTTGGACGGAAATCAATGAGCTTTGCAAACCCGCGTGCCTGCTGGGAGCTCAGCAAAGGGCCCCAAGGAGGGGCTGGGCACCCCTCTCTCCCAGACATCAGGTCCCCTCACAAAGAGGTGATGGCCCCCCACAAGTCAGCAGGCAAAAGGACTCCGGCCAGAGGAGGAGGGGAAGGCATGGGGTCTGGGAGAGGAATATCTGTCCATTCCTGGAAGGAGGCTCCAAGCTCCTAGGAGATGGGAAATATGGGACCGAAATCCAGGGACCTGCTCTCTCTGGTTTCTGAGCTGAACTCTCCCCCCGCGGCCCTCCCCCCCCATACACACACCTCCTGCCCAAATGGGGGTTCAGGACTCGGTCTGGCTGTTCTTAGATTTTGGGTTCTAGAAGCTCAGCAAAAACAAAAAAGACCCTCTCTCCCCCAAGAACACCACTCTCTCCTTGCGAGAGATGAAAGTTCGGAGACTCTGGGAAGCGAAAGTTTAACCAGCAACGCCAGGAAACTAAGCCAGATCTTGTGGAAAGAGTCCAGGGCAGCTGGGCCAGCGTGGCTCAGTGGTTGAGCTTGACCTATGAACCCAGAGATCAGGGTTCCATTCCCAGTCAGGGCTGTGGGCTGGATCCCCAGTGTGGGGAGTGCAGAAGGCAGGCGATCCATGATACTCTCTCATCATGGATGTTTGTCTCTCTCTCCCTCCCCTTTCCTCTCTGAAAACAATAAAAGAATATATTTTTTTAATGTCCAGGGCAGGCAAAGACAACGAGTCCTGTCAGCCTTCCATCCACTCACTCATTCACTCACTTATTCATCCACTCATTCATCCACTCATTCATGCATTCACTCACTCATTCATGCATTCACTCATTCATTCACTCATTCATACATTCACTCATTCATTCACTCATTCACGCATTCACTCACTCATTCATGCATTCACTCATTCATTCACTCATTCACGCATTCACTCACTCATTCATGCATTCACTCATTCATTCACTCATTCACGCATTCACTCACTCATTCGTTCACTCACTCATTCATTCATCTCTCCGCCCCACCCCTATTTGTTGTTCCTCTCTCAGCTCCTGAGAAAGGCAGGGCGCCTTCTGGAAGCAGTTTCCGGCTGGGCTCCCAGCTACGCCTGCTCCTTCTTATAAAAGTCGGGTAATGAGTTCCTGCGCCCCGCGGGATCTGCTGCTTCCCAGGATGAAGCAGACGGGCCGGCCCGGACCCCTCCGGCTCAGCCAATGCAGGAAGTTAGCGGGGAGCCCGGGGAGGGGCAGGGGGCCGACGGGTTGGGGAGGTCCCCTCAGCTCCGCGGAAATGGCAGCCCGGCCTCCTGCTCCCGTTCCTTCGGGAGCGGAGAGGCGGAGAGGACGCCTAACGAATCTGGGTGTATGGCCGGGGGTGTCCTACCCTTTTGGTCGGGGAGCCCCGGTAAATTACCCGAGGGGGGCCCTCCTCGCCACCCCTGTCTCTCTCAAAGGACTAGACGGAGGCCGTTTGGGCGGCGCTGCCTTCTTCCACCCCTCGCGTGCCCTGAAAGTAGCCCGCCTCGCCCGTGGCCCAGAAGCCAGACCCCGTCTCCAGTCGGAACCCAAACGCCATTCGGAGCCCTGGGGCCGAACTCTGGCCGCTGGGCCTGGCGCGGCGCTGGGCGCACGCAACCCGCTCTTCCTGCGCTTCCCCGGGCGCGCGGCTGGATAGACTCCGGGGGCGCAGGAGCTGGACCGAGGGGTCAGGGTCCGGGATTCCCACCAGGACAACGGCAGAGACCCTGTGTTGGGCTCGGGCCCAGACTCCCCGGAGGGGAGGGAGGAAGCCTGGCTTTCCCAGGGGCCCCGGACCTGCATCTCCAACACCAGCGGTTCTGGGTCTCTTCAGACCTGCGCGTCGGAGGCCAAGACCCCGCGCCCGCGGGTTGGCCCGGTCCTCCCGGCCCCGCGAGCTGGTGGAGGCGCCCTGGGTCTGAAAGGTGTGGCGTCGGCTCGGCACCCAGGACCCACCGAGTCAGCGTCGTCCCGGCGCGAGTACCGCGCACGGAGCGCTGACCACCCAGCGCTGGGCTCCCGGCGGCGTTGGGCGGGCGGAGGGCGGGGAGCCGCCGGGCCGCTTTCAGTCCGTGGACAGGGACCCCTCGGTGCCAACCTCCTTCCCCACCAGCGAGGCTGCGGCCGGCGCGCCTCGGACTCTCCCGCGAGGAGGGAACCCGAGGGAACCCCCAGGACCTGCGGGGCGTGTGCCCGGGGCGCCGCCGCCCGGGGGGAGCCCGAGCCACCAGCTCCGCGCGCTCCGGTCCGCGCCCCGGCTCCGCGCCCGCCAAGCACCCGCTGGTCACCTGCTCCCTCCGGGTCCCCGGGTTCCTCTGCGCGGGCGCGGCCTCCGAGTCGGGGACCAGGCGCTCTGATACCTGCAGCCCCTTCCCCCGACTTCCCGCGCCGCCCGGGGAATCACGGGGCGCGTCCCGCACCGCGTCCGCCGCACCGGCCCCGGGGTTTGCAGCGAACAAAAGCGAGGCAGGAGCCGCTCGCTCCCAGCGAGGCCCTGCGAGGGGGGGGGGAGCGGTCTTCCCGGCCCCCACACCCTTCCCGGGAGGACCCGAGCGCAGCCCCCGCGCATGAACCCCGCTGGGCTCCGGGCACCGCGGCCTCCGCCCCCCGAGGGGCAGACGCTTGGAGAAAGGCCGGCGTCGGCTGGGTGTTTGCGCCTCCCCAGCGCGGGTCACTTCTAAGACACACACACCCCTCTCCGTTCCACCCAGAGAAGCGCGCACACGCGTGTGCACATGTTCTCACACACACACACACACGCACACACGCACACAAACACACACGCCGTGCGCGCCGGCTCAAGAGAAGGACCCGGGAAGGCGAGCGCCCGGCCCGTCCTCACCTGCCTCCAGCGTCGTGCCGGTCAGCATCCTCGGGGCCGCTCAGCCGGCGGAGGCTGCCCGCCCTGCGAGGAAGAGCCGCCGTCAGCCGCGCGGGCAGGTTGCGGAGAGAGGCCCCCTCCCCCTCCCCCGCCCCCGCTCCCTCCCCCACCGCGCGGGTCCTCGGAACCCGGCGCCGGCGGTGCGCGTAGGGCGTCCAGCCATCCTTCCGCGCGCGCCCGGGGCATAAAGCTGCTGGCGCCAGGCCGCCCCCGCCCCCGCCCCCCGCCCTCGCCCCCCGGGTCTTACCTTGAGGTCTAGATGCTCCCGCAAGAGCCCGGTCCTCCGGGAGGGCGGGAGGGAGGCGGCGGCCGGCCCCCAGGTCTCGCCGAGGTTCCCTCTGTTGATCCAAATAAATAAACTGCGGGATGGGAAAACCTCTCCCCCGCCCCTTCTCTCTCTCATCCCTCACCTCTGGCCCGCAGCGCCCTCCACCTGTCTTTTATTTTCTGTTTATGCTTCCGGCTCGGGGGGAGGAGGAAGAGGAGGGGGAGGAGGGGGGGTGGGCAGAGGGTCCCCGGGGCCGGTGCCGGGAGGCGCGCTCCGAGGCTGCGTCCCGCCCTCCCAGCCCCGCCGCCATCCGGGGAGGTGTTAATGGAGGCCTCGCCGCTCCCGAACCTCGTAAAGCCGCGGCCTCTCGGGGCGGGGGCGCCGCGGGGGGCGGGAGTCGGCGGCGCGCCCCGGGCCCGGTCCCCAGCCGGCGCGGCGGCCCCGGGGCGCCCTCCTGGCCGAGGCAGCCGGCGGCCTAGACGGGAGGGGCGGCGGCGCGGGCGGGGAGCCGGGCTGGGCCAGTGACTGCTCGCCGCAACCCCTCCCCTCCCCTCGGGTCCCGGCTCGCTCTCTGCGCTCCGGGCGGGGAGCTGGGGCCCAGCACTTTGGGGTGCGCTCTGCGCGCCAGGGGGCCGTGGTCGGCGGGTTCCGATGTTCCTCTCCAGCCCCACGAGGAAGGAGGTGGGGAAGGGGAACGGGGGGACGGCTCACACCCGGAGAGGAGCCGGGGCGGGGGGGCGCAGACAGACTACACACCCCGGGTGGGTGGCGTCTGGTTACCTGAGCTCAGGTCCCCGAGGGGCGGTGGCCCCGGCAGCCCCGAGCGCCGTCCGGAGCCGGGAAGCGGTCGAGAACCGGGAAGCCGGGCCTCTGGCCACTGATTCCCTCACTCCCCAACCCAGCGCGCCCCTCGCCACGGGAGACGGGGGGGGGCGAGGGGTCCTGGGCGCTGGGGCAGCGGGTGTGAGCAGCCAGACTGTGAGGGTCCCTCCCTGCCCCCCCCCCCAGGGTGTCCCCACAGCCCGTCTCCGCGGTGCGCGCCTCCAGGAAGCGGAGGACGTGGGATGCAGGGCGCGTGGGTCCGGGCAGCGCCGCGCACAGGCTGGGAGAGGCCAGGGACCCGGAGGAGCCTGGAAGCCAAGCCCGATGGCGTCCTCTTCCCGCCCCGAATCCGCAATGTCGCTCAGGGGCACCCCGGCCGCAGTGCCCCTCCCTCCCACCCGCACTCTCGGCTCCACCAGCCGGGCCCACCGTCGCGTCGCCTGGGAAGGTCCCTCACCCGGGGCTCCTCCCCACCCCGGCCCTAGAGAAGCCCCGGATCTGGGTCTGTTCTCGGAGCCAGGGAGGGAGCAGCCGCCCACGTTCAGTTTCTACTCTGGCCAGCCAGGCCATCGCATGGATGGATGGATGGACTGATGGACGGATGGACGGACGGCGACACCCACCCCAAAACGCTTAGGTGCTGCCACTGATCCCGGCCCAAAGCAGCGCGTTTGACCGTTTTGGTGAGGAACCGGTTAGGTGTTTGGTAAATGCGTGCCTCCCACACGCGCACAGGCGCCTGGAGCCGCGCCGCCCGGGGAGAACACCGATGCGGGTGGACAGAGGAGGTCGTGGGGAAGCTCCCGACCCCCCAGAGCCAGGTTCCGGTTCGCACGCGTTGACACCCGGAGTCTCCGGAAGGGCGCCCCCCGGATCTGGCGGTTTAGGGGTCCCCAGCCCAACTTGAAACCCTGCATGGGGACCAGGGTGTAGGTGGCGCCGGCGGGGCGCTCCTGCAAAGACGGGGCACCCAGAGGGCACGCGGGGCCCACCCGACCCCTCACTAAACGAGCTGCGGGCTTTTTTTCTTTTTTAAAAAATATATTTTTTATTTATTTCAGAGAGGAAGGGAGAGAGATAGAAACATCAATGATAAGAATCATGGACGAGCTGCCTCCTGCACGCCCCCCACTGGGGACCCAGCCCACAACCCCCTCCCCCCCCCCATGTGCCCTGATCAGAATGAACCCTGACCTCCTGGTTCATAGGTCGCCACTTAACCACTGAGCCATGCCAACTCGGGGAGGGGAGGGGAATTTTTAAAAAGCCCTTCCCTTCCTGGCTCCCAAAATAGAGGGTCCCAGTGTGGCTTCTGGGGGGGGGGTGAGTGCCAGCCCCCTGCTGGGGGGCCTGCAGGGGGTGAGAATGTCCCCACAGCAAGCAACACGCCCCCCCCACCCCAGTTCCCTTAGGGGTTTCTGTGTTGGAAACAGCCTGTGGCCAGGCACCTGCAGCCCGTCCCCCTGATGGATGGCGCCCAGCAGCAGGGGTCTCTGAAACTGTGAAAGCTGTTCCTCCAGCGACCACGCGCGGTGGGCACACGCCCCGTGAGAAAGCTGGACGTGAGCTTTACAGCGTGCGACACGGTGTAGCCACCCTCTGGCGGGAGGCCCGGCCATGCGGCCACACTGTTTACTGTGGGAGCCCCCCCCCCGCCCCCGCAGACCTGTGGTTTGGAAGCATCTCCCCAGAACCACAGAGGACCGCAGACCCTGAATGTGACCCGGTGAGATGGCCCCACCGCCACCCACCCCACCATCCCCAGCAAGTGGGGGGGAGGCCTGACATTTTCCCAAGGAAGGTCACACAGTCCTGTGATGGCCACCCCAGTCCTGGCTTCCTGGGCGGCCATCCCCCCCCCCCCCCCCCCCGCCAGGCAGTGACCTGGGAAAGAGCCCCCCTGGAGGGGGTCCCCCTAAGTCATGTCCATCTGCCAAGGGGCTTTCTCAAAACACTGCGGCCGGGCTCCTTGTCAGAATGAATGTCCTTCCCTCCTCATGTCCCCGGAAGAGGGCCTTTTCGGCCGTTTCTCTCTCTTCTCCCTCCTGGGACCCAGGACAGAAGCCCCATCCACCCTCACTCCACAATGGCTGCTCCTTGACCCAGGAATGGGAAGGAGATGGGCCCATGGACCTTTCTGGAAAGATGCCCGCCTCCCCCAGTGATCACGCTGCTGGCCCCCTCCTCCTGTTGTCCTGGACATAATTTCCAGAGGGGGAGCCTGGCCAGGGGCACCAGCAGACACTGGACACCGGAATGCCAAGCGTGGGAGACATTTCTTATTTGACATGGAGTGAGTCACAGGTCACCGTCGGTGGGGCCATCAGAACCTCCCGGGGCTTCTTTACGCTCATTGTACAGCGTAGAAGGCCTTTCTTCTGGAGCTGACCGCGAGGGAAGGCACAGAGCACTTAGTGGGGCCGCAGGCAGAGACCAAGGCGGACCCAAGGGTGCTCTGAACCTTTCAGATCCTGCTGGGAGACCTGGCTGAGGGTCTGCTCTGGGTAGAGCCAGCCCTCCAGGGGCAGGTGCTCAGAGAGGATGGTGCCCAGGGGCTTCCCAGCAGCGGATGGACCAGGTGGACATGTGTAGAGAGACGCACCTGGGAGATGCAGACCCGTGGGGCAGAGAAGGAAGGCGCTTTAATCAAGAAACCCCCGTAAGCGGCCTGACCCCAGGCAGAGTGATTAAGCATTTCCACCGAGAGAACAGATGGAGGGCGAGAGCCTTCTTGTCGCGGGAGGCCCTCCTTGGCCACTCAGATGCTGCGGGTACAGCTTTGCAGCCACCTCCCCAGAGGGAGCTGGAGATAGAAATACGATGACGAATGTCTCCGCTGGGCTGCTGGCCCCGTGGGGAGCACGGAGGCCCCCCGATCGCGCCTCTGCATTTAAGGGAACAGTCGCTATTTTCTTCTTCAGCACATGTGCCCGATGAGGAGGGAGGCGAGCAGAAAATCCACGGCCACTTTGGGAACACACCAACATTCCCTCGCTTTTGTTCATTTTATTGATGTTCTTTTAATATATATATATATATATATATACACACACACACACACACACACACACACACACACATACACTTATGATTAAATCAGTGCTCAAGCACTCAGAGAGAGAGCAATTCTGAATTGAGATGTGTGTGTGTTTTTAAAGAAGGTTGAACGGAATGGCAACCAGAGATGAAATTGTTGTCAAACATAGAAACAGGAATTGAATTTCTTCTTTTTAGCTGGATCTTGAACGTTGACTTGACCATATGGGCACTGCAGGAGGAAGAAGACAAATTGTTAATGACTTCCTTAGCGACTGTCTTGACAGAGTAAGCGCTGCCCATGGTGAACAAAGGGGGCCGCGGACCGCGTGATGAAGGTCATTTGATCTTGCGGGTCCTGCAGAGCGGGAGGAGAATCCTGAGGAACCATCCTGATGAGGGGCCCCAGTCCCTTCCTCTGAGCATCCTTCCGACTTGAAGGTTTTACAGTCAAAAGCTCACTCACAGAAAAACCCCAAGTCCCCAGTTTGTGCAGAGCTCGTATGTGCGTCATTCGACACAGACAATGGCGCAGGTGGGCACGCACAGGAAAGCGAAGGCCTAACTCGTCAGCGTTGGCCACAGTTGGCACGTGGACGCGGCGTCTCCTCCTTAATTAGAAAGTGGGTCAGCGAGAGGAAATGGTGCTCTACATCGTACGGTAGGCGCATCTGCAGACGCTTACGATCTGATCTCCGCAGCCATGCGCCCAGAGAGTGTGCGTTTGCAAAGTTAGTGCAGAATCCATCCCCACGGTTTGGGGTAGTTTCATGGTTAAAGACAGAGCAGAAAAGTGACAGAGAAAGGATGCCAAAGAGACAGAAGAGAAAGAGGAGGAGGAAGAAGAAAAAGAAGGAGGAGGAGCAGGAGGAAGGGGAAGAAGAGGAGGAAGGAGAAGGAGCAGGAAGAGGAGGAGGAGGAAAAAGGAAGGAAGGAAGGAAAGAAGGAACAAAGAGAGAAAATCATTATCATTGAAGGGATTCCCACCTCTCAGTGCTGGGCAAATCTCTATGTAGTCAGCTAACAGCTAATAATGAAAGAAAACACTTTCTGGGCTCCAGCTTGCAATATCCTAGCTCCCTTTCCTGCGCCCTTTGTGCTTACCTCGCGAGCGCGGCTCATTTAAAGCCTCGTGAAAGGTTTCCTGAGCATAAAGAGCTCCCACGGACCGCCGCCCGGCCGTGCAAGCGCCCGATGGCCACGGTGCAATGTTACCCGAGGCCATTAAGTTTAAAGGCCCTGAGTTGGTCCTCAGGCCCCATTGTCCTGGGCCGAGGGAGCTTGTGAAAAGCGCGCGGCAGGTCTATTTCGCGTTTTTATTTGACTTGTTGTTCAAATAACAGGCATTTATGAAGTTACAGAAGCACCGCCAGGGGCTGCCGGAACGCGAGGATCTGCCACTCACGTGTCTGCAGGCGGATCCGCAGCACCGGCCCCTCTGCAAGTGGGCGAGTCGCGTGAGCACCAGGTAGCCGGTGGCCGGGTCCACGTAGGTCAGCTGCTTGGCCTGCAGAGTCGCGAAATAAAACCATCCATTAGTCTCAATATTCGCCGTATCTCCTCATCTACCCTAAATCCTACTAACAAAACAACTGCCCAATTCCCTTAAAACAAGATTGCCCGGCCAGGGTGGCTCAGTGGTTGAGCATCGACCTAGGAACCAGGAGGTCACGGTTCGATTCCCGGTCAGGGCACAAGCCCAGGTTGCGGGCTCCATCCCCAGTGTGGGGCACACAGGAGGCAGCCGATCAATGATTCCCTCTCATCATGGATGTTTCTCTCTCTCTCTCTCCCTCTCCATTCCTCTCTAAAATCAATAAAAAATATATTAAGCCCTAATTGGTTTGGCTCAGTGGATAGAGCGTCGGCCTGCGGACTGAAAGGTCCCAGGTTCGATTCTGGTCAAGGGCATGTACCTTGGTTGCGGGCACAACCCTAGGAAGAGGTGTGCAGGAGGCGGCTGATCGATGTTTCTAACTCTCTCTCCCTCTCCCTTCCTCTCTGTAAAAAGTCAATAAAATATATTTAAAAAATATATATGTATGTTAAAAAAACAAACAAAAACCCCAATATGAACCTCTTCAAGCAATTTCAGGGCCCCTAGCAATCAAGGCGGGAACACATTCCAATGTGATGCAGGAGCCGACTTTGTGCGGCAGCAGGAGGAGGAAATACACAGCCGGGAGAACGAGACGTTGATGGGGAAACAAGAAGGCCTCTATGCCCAGGGCCCCTGCGGCCACCGCTTAGGTATTTTTCACTCGGCTCCTTGGGAACAGGTCTAATCACAGGTGATTTCGGAGACGTGAAGAGCTTAAGAGGCTGCGAATGAACTGGCACTCAGAAGTCGCACTGGCGAGTTCAGGGCTGAAAATACGCGGACGGTGATTTAAACGTACAGGAAAGGCGCTAATCGAAACCAACAGCGCCGAGAAAAGTACGGCCTGCGCCATTATTGAACACTCTTCGTTACCCCGTGATGTGGGACCGCACTGAACACTTCACGCTGTTTTCTTTTCAGGGTGTTATTAGTTCTGTTTTTACACCACCCCCCTCCCTCCACACACACAAAAACCTGGTATTGTTTGACCATATTAACGCTCACTGCTTTCATGAGTTTGACCGAAAGCAACTTTGATTTTTATTTTCTTTTTTTGTTACTCCTCACCCGAGGATATTTTTTTCCATGGATTTTTTAGAGAGAGAGGAAAGGAGGGGAAGACATACACAGAGAGAAACATCGATGTGAGAGAGACGCATCGACTGGTTGCCTCCCACATGTGTCCCCGACCAGGGCCAGGGATCCAGCCTGCAGCCGAAGTACATGCCCTTGACCAGAATGGAACCCTGGACCCTTCAGTCCACAGACTGTCACTCTATCCACTGAGCCGAACCGGCCAGGGGCAAAAAGCCAGGTTGACGACGGCCCTTCAGACGCTCCGGAAGCTCCCTCTACCTACGCTCAAACCCGTTTTCCAAACTGCCCCGCGTGTGTGGTGTGCCGGCCACGTCACCAATTCGGCCTCTTCCTTGGGTCTTGGGCACACGGGTGATGTTCTTTAGCCTGAGACCTTGTAGAGGGACTTTCTCCTGCTCTTTCGACAGGACGCTGTCACCACCCCTAACTCTGCGGCGCTGTCTTAGCCTGAGGTGTCAGGAAGCCAGAGGGAGAGAGAGGCTGAGTTTTGACACTGATGCTGACAGGCAATTGTCAAATCCCCCAAACAGAAGAACGAAGCTCACGATTGCCTAGCGAGAACCTAGGTGCCCACGGAGGGCCTTGACGTTGAGCTCTGTGAAGAGTGGAGGGAAGGGGAGAAAAGATGGCAGCGGAACGTAGAATAAAAGCAAGTTCATGCTTTATTATTCATCACTAAAACCATCGCTTGGTAGGGTGTTTAACTGATCCTGCAGATCAACGCACGACATTGCTCCTGTGCCTTCCCGGCTCCTCTACCCGCTCCATCAACGTCTTCACACCCATCCCCCAACACACAGACACACAAAGGCACACACATATACACATACTCACACACACACATACACACTCAGACACACATACACTCATACAGACACACAGAAAGACACACAGAAACACATACACAGAAAGACAGGCACACAGTCACACATACAACAGACACACATACAACAGACACACACTCACACTCATACACACACACTCACACACACACATACTTATATACACAGACACACACACACTCACATATACTCAGACACATACAGTCACACACACACAGACACAGACACACACACACACACACACTCAGACACACATACACTCATACAGACACACACAGAAAGACAGGCACACAGCCACACATACAACAGACACACACACACACACACACACACACACACACACACAGGAGTGATGATGTTCAGCTCATGCACTGATCAGAAAGAGGAGCACTCAGGACAGACGGACAGCCAGACGCTAACTCTCAGCCCGATTGGCGGGGCCAGGAAGCCTGGGAGCCATCAGAGGCTGAGTCTGCAGGGGCCCAGGTCCCCCGACCCGCCCCTCCGCCTGGGACGCGCAGGCGCACGGGCGTTAAGGTCGCCAGGACCAGGCAGGAGGGGCCTCACCGCGCAGGCGCACCGACTCCCGGGACCCGGAGAAGGGGCCTCACCGCGCAGGCGCACGGGCCGCGGGGCGGCACAGGGGGCGGGGCCTCACCGCGCAGGCGGCTGCGTGCAGGTCCGCGATCCGTTGCTCCGCCGCCGTTAACGCTCCGGTCTCCGGGCACCTCTCCGCCGCCGCCGGGCTGTCTGGCGAGCGGGGCCCGACATCTCCGCGCTCTCCCTCCGAAGCGGAGCAGAGGGGGACCCCGAGGGGCTGGCGGAGCCCTGCTGAGACCCCGAGGGGCCGTGCCGGCCGAGCGGCGGGAGGTCGTGCCCCGAAGGCTGCGGTCACCAGCGCTGGCACCCGCCTGGCCGCCATGGCCGCCGCGGGCCGTGCCGCCCCGCCCTGCAGGGCTCGCCCCGCCCTGCCCCCTCCTGAGCCTTTGCCACGCCCCCGCCGGGTAGCCACGCCTACCACCGAGTCCGCCACGCCCCCTCCCGAGCGCCTGCCACGCCCCCGCCAGCTCGCCACGCCCACCGCCGAGCCCGCGGCCGTAGGGAGACCGACCAACCCCGTAGGGTTAGGGCCTCAGCCTTTCTCATCCGCGTCCAGCCCAGACCACAGCCTGGTCACGAGGCTCCTGGACATGCAGAAGCCTGTGTTTGGCCCCCAGAACCCCTAACAGCTCCCTCTCTACCCCGTCCGCTCCTGAGCCAATCGCTGTGAGCGCAGGTGGCTCGTCAGCCAATCAGGGCCCGTCCCTGGTCCGCCCACAAAGCCCTGGCCGAGAAGGGCCTGGATTGATGGACGGGCGCTGGGGGCAAAGGGCGACCGCAGAGGCAGCAGCCTCCCTCCGGCCAGCCCAGGCCTTCGGGATTTCATTCATTTCAGGTATGGGTATTTGCTCCGCTTTAGCTTTTTCTAGGTAATCATTTATTTTTTTTTTTTGCAGTGTTTTCCCAATAGATGGTAAGACAGGGGGGCTACATGTCATTTTTTCATGTATGTCTCTCCACAGCCCATCTTTAATGAATAATGAATTTTTGAGCAGGCAAGCAAGTCAGCGGTCTTCATTCTCAAATGCATGTGAACTACGTTCCATATGGAAATGGAAATTTAACAATCTGTATATAACGATGCAGATTTGACGGTATTGACTATATATTAAGGGTTGCAAATGAATACTTTAAAAAAACCTAGGTGATACCTATACCAACTCTGAAGTCCCATTAAACTGTATTTATGACATCACCTTGGGCCTTTTTACTGATAAACAGGACGGGTGCATACATTACCAAGTGATCCGGTCCGCACCCCTGAAGTGCCCCTCTTTTTCATTGACTTTAAGGGTTATCTTCTAATGAGTCACGACTGGACTGTCCTGTGAGTGGACACATCCCTGCTGGAGGCTGACAGCCACACCCAGATGCTGGGCCGTCCGCTGCCCGCTTGGCACAGGTCTTGCGGGCCCTGATTTCGGTAGTTGATGCTTTCGGGGTGGCTGGACGGTGTGTTACGACCTGTCAGGCTCCATGTAGAGTGAGTGCACTCTCACTCTCAATCCCCGTGATCGAGGGCAGACGTTAACACGGCCCCGAGGCTGCCCGTAGAGAATCCTGGTCTCATGTCATCGGACGTCCAGGAGCGCCCCTGGTTTCACTGAGGTGGTCCTAGAAGACCCTGGTGGGGAGTATAACCAGGTCCACCGGCAAGTCCAGGGAGTCCCTGCTGCCTCCACAGGGGAGTCTGACACGCCGCTGCCGCCACCGAAGCCCAGAGAGCTATGCAGTGGCTGCCATCTGTCCCTCTCCTCTGCGTCTCCCGGGCGAGTGTGGATGGGCTGCACACAGGAAGTTATCTAGCTCGTCCACCTCCTCTTCCGCCCTCTCAACCATAGACCTTCTTAGTGCAATGGACGGATTAGTATTACGTTTTTATTTTTATATACATATATATGTTTTTTAATCCTCACTTGAGGATATTTTTCCATTGATATTTTTTTATTTTTAAATTATATATATTTTTATTGATTTCAGAGAGGAAGGGAGAGGGAGAGAGAAACATCAATGATAAGAGAGAATCATTGATCAGCTGCCCCCTACTGGGGATTGAACCTGCAACCTGGGCATGTGCTCTATCCACTGAGCCAAACCAGCTAGGGCTCCACTGATTTTTAGGGAGAGTGGAGGAGCAAGGAAAAGACAGAAAGAAATATTGATGTGAGAGAAACACATCGATTTGTTGCCTCTTGCACCCACCTCAACCAGGGCCCGGGCCAGGGAGGAGCCTGCAACGGAGGTACGTGCCCTTGACCGGAATCGAACCTGGGACCCCTCAGTCTGCAGGTCGACACTCTATCCACTGAGCCAAACCAGCCAAGGCAGTATTAGGTTTTCAAAATGAGGGTGGCAGCCACAGTGTTGCAGGGCTTCCCACACCCTGACACAGTTGTAAAGAGATCATGGTGAAGGCCGAACAGACAACACCCAAATCGCAGGGCTGTTCTCCGCGCTCTCACCGCCCGAGGGAGGAAGGCCTGACCGCTGTTCCGTGACGGGAATGAAAGGCGCACTGAGTTTCAGGTCAAGTATCCATGACACTGACATGTCTGCCTGGTCTACCGAGTGTGATACATGTTAATATCCTCCCGGGGACATGCCTCAGTGAGCAGAACAGCGGGCTCGCCCTGAGCTTTGCTGCAGATGCAAAGTTGGCGCACCTCTCAAATCCCGGGAACGCCAATCTGCCGCTGGCGGTGCAACTGCGATGTCGCCGGGAGCGTGGTCACACCGGCACCATCCACACCTGTTGCTCCATCCGGTGACTGGCACAGGTTGGATAGCACCGTTGAGAGCTCACCTAGTTTGTACCACATCATGGGGCCAATAAGGACAGCGCAACCAAAAGGCCGTGGCCGGTGGAGCCCTGCACAGCGATGCTGCCCTGTTCATAGCGTGACAGTCATACATCCGGGACACGCCTGGGTCATCCATCCACCCATCTAAGGCCCATCCACCCGTCTGAGGTCCATGACAGGAGGAGCATCCTATCTAATAATAGACGAACATGGTAATTGACCATACCTTCGATACGCCTCCCATTGGCTAATCAGTGAGATATGCAAATTAACTGCCAACATAGACGGCCGTTAATTTGCATATGTAGGCGTGAAGCGGCTGAGCGAAGACTGAAGGCGGCTCCTGCCGGAGCGAAGGCCTGGGTCCCGGGTGCCGGAGGAAAAACCGGTGCCGGCAGCCAGGGGAAGGGAAGGCCTATTGCACGAATCTTTTCGTGCAACAGGCCTCTAGAGTATAGTATATTCTGTCTGCCTTTTCATTTTATTTTATTAATGTTAAATATTTGTATTGATTTCAGAGAGGAAGGGAGAGGGAGAGAGAGACAGAAACATCCATGATGAGAGAGCAGCATGGATCAGCTGCCTCCTGCACGCCCCACACCGGGGATGGAGCCTGAAACCCGGGCCTGTGCCCTGACCTGGAATCGAACCGTGGCCTCCTGGTTCCTAGGCTGACGCTCGACCGCTGAGCCACGCCGGCCGGGCTAACTGGGAGACCATTAAACTTGTCTCTTGGCCGTTCTCTCATTTGTCCCTCTACGCCCGAAAGACTCAACCCCTAGGCTTGCGAGGGATTCTAGGGGCGTCCTTTAGGCTCACGTGTTTCTCCCACGGTCATGTTCATCTTCCCATCAGTGTTTGTGCTTTACCACCGGGCGCTTGCCCCCGCGCCCCCCCGCCCCTTAAAAATGTTTAGCCCCATTTCCTGTAAAGACTGAACAGTTGGGTGAACGTGGGGTCTGCAATAAGCGAGAGATACAGACACTGCCGTTTTCCCTCGCCATTGTGGGAGGTCTGTGTCCAAGTTCTCTGATCTTTCTCGGGATTCCATGAGACACACTCAAGTTCTAGAGCTAAAGGCTACTTTCGACTATTTGCAGTTGTCTCGTATGTGCAAGGTTGCAGGGGAATTCATTGAAAGAAGAGGGGGAGGGCCGGCCAGCTGGAGTGGCTCAGTGTTTGAGCGTCGACCTATGAACCAGGAGATCAGGGTTCAATTCCCGGTGAGGGCACATGCCCAGGTGCGGGATCGATCCCCAGTAGAGGGCGTGCAGGAGGCAGCCGATCGATGGCTCTCTCTCATCATTGATGTTTCTCTCTCTCTCTCTCTCCCTCTCCCTCTCTCTCTGAAATCCATAAAAATGTATTTGAAAAAAAAAAGAACGGGAGAAGCAGTGAAGCAACGTTGCAGGGGGAAATGCCATGGTCTCGGCAAGGAACCGGTTGGCATTCACAGTTGCACAAGCCTGCCTCCGGGGGGCAGTAGGGGGCAGGGCTGGAGGACAGCTTCCCGTGGACTTTCAAGGCCACCACGACCACCTGCTGCCTGGGGTCCGTGCCTAGGTTAGGTCTGTGAAATGGGTGCAGTCGCCACACCTCCCCCACAGGGGTTTCGTAAGGATCGCATGAGATGCTCACTGCTGGGCACTTCTAATTGTGCCTGTTCCCGATTAAATGTCGACGAAAAGGTAGCTTTGTTTGTACGGACCTGGCTGCCTGGCTGTGTGGGTGACCCCGTCACGAGAGGAATCTGAGGGGAGGTCGAATCACAAATCGGTAGCAGTTCGATAGGTGGTGAGATTTACCCTTTGGATCGCCCCTCAGCCCCTGGGATGTTCTGTCTCTGTCCCTTGGTTTCCAGTGAATATCAAGGTATCTTTCTTTTGTTTTCTTTATTTAAATATATTTTATTGATTTTAGAGAGGAAGGGAGAGGAAGAGAGAGATAAAACATACAACGATGAGAAAGAACCATCGATTGGCTGCCTCCTGCACGCACCCTACTGGGGATGGAGCCCGCAGCCACCTGGGCATGTGGCTCAGCGGTTGAGCGTTGACCTATGAACCAGGAGGTCACTGGTTCGATTCCCGGTCAGGGCACATGCCCAGGTTGCGGGAGAGGGCGCCCTAGCTGGTGTGGCTCAGTGGATAGAGCATCGATCGGCCTGCGGACTGAAGGGTCCCGGGTTCGATTCCGGTCAAGGGCACATGCCCGGGTTGTGGGCTCGGTCCCCAGTTGGGGGCCGTGCAGGAGGCAGCTGATCCATGGTTCTCTCTCATCATGGATGTTTCTCTCTCTCTCTCCCTCTCCCTTCCTCTTGGAAATAAAATATATATATAAACTGTTTAGCAACACGGACGTGGCCTGAGAACACTGTGAACTCGAATGAGCCTGAGGACCCCGAGAGAGAACAAGGGATGCGGGACTGGAGGACTCCGACGCCCTCCTGCATAAACTCATCTCGTAACTGCAGCTCCCCAGGGAGCAGGGAGCGAGTGAGGGCCCTGCTGGTGGACGGGACAGGAAGGGTTAAGGCCTGGGCTCACACTAGAGAG